TCATTAGTCCCATCAGCCTGATTATGGCAGGAAAATACCAGCTGGTATTTTATCCAACAGTAAACAAAGACAAATACTACAAAGCAGCTCAACTATCCCAGCTACCACCCACTCAATACTTGTGATGAGCCTCTTTCTGCTCTGGGCATGTGTTGCACAGATTCAGCAGACTGATATGAACCAACACTCATTTGTCAGGCTCTGGAGGTAGAGGCAGTATTAACATTTCAGCTCCACTGTGGCTGTTTCCTCAAAATGGAGCCAGCATTTCAGCAGTGTGTTTTCTGCCGTGCTATACATTCTCCTCACACTTTCGCTTTGCTGGAGGAATCCATCTCGCTGTGGCTTGACAACAAAACCATTACCCTCTCACCTCTGGGGAATTGACAGTCCAACTCCGACTACACAAAACTGCACATTCTATAAAGCAGAAAAGAGAGAGCTACATGGAAAGGAAGATAAAGTAAGAGCTAGACACACACAAACACGCATGCGCTCGTCATTACAACACGAACACACACAAGAAGAAAATCACACATCCGAGTGAGCTCAGTGTTGTTTTCTGTTTACACTATAACTTACTTGAGTCCCATGGTGGTGAATCCAATATTCCTCTCTGCCGTCTGAATGACAACAGCACAGGCAGCTTCTGTCCCACTCTGTATCTTTATCCCCCTGCCATGTGGGCCAGATCCAATGGCTCAGTAGACCCCTCTGTTCCACGTAATCTGTCCTGCCTATTTGTCAGTGGCAAAGATCCCTGCTGTCAATCACAGCGCAGCCGACCAAACACAGCACTGATGTGCTTTGCCTGCCTCAGGCCTCTCTGTGTGGATTGCCCCTAGCATGACCTAAAACAGAGCTACTGTATTTTCCACAATAACACATGCTAGCATCACTGCCTCCTTTACAAACAAACTGAGTCAACATTCACACTGTACACATGATTGGACAGTGGACCTCAGCACCCAACATGTTATTCAGAACAAGAGCACACACTTGTGATCCTGCAGTGCTTCCAATTTGCAACACACAGGACTCATTAATGAAGAGATGCTCGTTCCTCCTTTCTGGTTAAATTATAGTCCAGTGGAGTGAAGAGAGCTATTTCAACTTCCTGATTTGCAATCTCCACTTCTAAAAGAAAAATCAGTCACATTTTAATCCCATGAGCTAATGACTCATTTCTATGGTTACTCAGAGCAAACCGGCGATGAAGGGCAGAGTGAGTGCTGCTGACGCAAAGGCGGGGTCGTGTGTGTGTGTGTGTGCTGGAGAATCGAGGCCACGCGGACCTGCTGCTACAAATGCAGGAGGATTCCTTCTGCACAATCACAGTCATTACTGCACAAGCACTCACCTGGGCAGCAGCTGCAGGGTGGTGATGGATGACCATAAAACCACTTCCTCCTGACACTCCTCTAGGGCCACATTCCAGCAAACAGCTGTCTGCCCTGCCACTGGAACAGCCCACCTGCTAGCCTGTGTGCCACCTCTTATGTCTGCAGCCTCCATGAATCTTTTACTTACCTGTTGTGTCTCTGAGGTCTTTAATATTCTTCTACTCATTACCTCCCTGCATCTTTAGAGTGAGTAAATCACCCCTCTCCCGAGCATGATTAGTGTGAGCTTGCAAAGTTGCAAACAGACTAGCTCCCTCCAAACAAACATAAGCAAGAGACCAACAACAGACCATGAAAACTGTCTCATGCTGCTATGTAGAAGTTAGCACACTGAGTAAAGCAGGCTTCAAAGTGAGCAGTCAACTCCTCTCAGCAGCGTGCACTGAGAAATCCTTGTGCCCGATGGGTGGTAAACACACCATCACAATCAGCAGGTGTTAATGGAACAGAGAGCCTGGGCGGAGGGATCTGCGAGGTGACAGTTATCCACACTGTCTGACCCCCTGCTGTGAGCTCCGCTGGGTTTCATTACAAAATGCTGTGTCAATATACTAATCATATGCTCTGTCACAAGGCAATCAGTGCTTAACGTGCTACTCAGCTGAACACATGGCTCTAAATTCATTACCCCCACCCCCGGTAATACAATGATGTAGCCTACACATACACACATAATGAGATGCATACACACGCACACACCATCCGGTCAGAGTTTGACCCTTGACTCTTCCTGTCTCTCTGCAACTGTATAGTCAGTCTAATTAGCCATTGGTCATCACTGACCCTGGGGTCATCTTTGTTTCAGGCTACTTTCCATAATTACCAGAAACAGGAAGCAGGATGAAAGACTGACTCGATAACTGAAATTTCAAAAATGCCTTAAAGGGTAAAGTCATTGTGTAATCAAAGACATTTTCTATTTTCTGAAAATAGCAGCATCACAAAAAATAATCATGGTCGTCGGACTATATGGGAAAATTCTCCCACAGGCAACAACACAGAGACCAAAAGCGCTTAGCATTTATTTCACATTTATCCTGGCAGGTATCGGGGTTAACAGCTCTGATAGTCATGTTTGCGATTTGTTCTATTGAATTAATAACTACTGACTTCAAATTAGTAATTTGCTTTCGATGAATAATGTGTCCACACTAATTACATCAACAATCTGTTCTCCTTGTAAAATCTGTTTCAAGGATGTCAGTGTTGTATTTAACAGCCAAAACCCAAAGTATGTATAATGAAATGAACACATTAAATTAATGGTCAGAATCTAAGAAAAAAAAATAAGTAATCTGTTGCTTTTACTGACTCACCAAAACAAACTTTAGGTTCTGGTGTTTTAAACTGACACTAAGCCTATAAAAAAATTATTTAAAGGCACAATTAAGTAATTTAGGGGCACAAACAATGAACCTGAAGGGACACATCACTAATTTGTGCACAGGAAATGTCAGAAAAAATGACTTTGACCTGCCGGGCTCTGTGGTTATCAAATCTACATTTATACTAAAATGATTATTCAACCCAGTAGACATCTTAAACGAAATAAATTAAATGCTTTTTTTTTAAAACCAGTTGAACGGTTGACTTATTTTTCCAATGAAAAATTAAACAATGAATCGCTTTTGTTCATCACACACTTCTTTTCTCTCAGCAGAAAACTAGCTAGAGCAGCCAGACTCCAGCTAATTGCGTTCTAATTAAAATTTCATCTCTGAGTGAAGCAGTGTTAGTGAATGTCAGACAAGTGTCTAAGAAGCCTCCTCCACTCCACTGGGGTAGATGCTGCTGCTTAGTTATTCGGCTCCTATGTCCTAGGCTCTCAGGATTTCCACATGCATCGCACTAATTGTATCTTCAGAGAACAAAAGGGAATACTAATCAGATATGAGTTTTCAGTCAAGTCTAAGATGTGAAAGACACTAATTTCATTGCTTTTTGTTTTTTCCAACTGTAGCGCTACTAGAGTGGCAAGAAAACAAGACATTTTTGATTGATTCAATTATTTTTGACTTTGGGGAACTGACATTTCAATCAGCAGAAATATACAGAAAGATAAAACGAACAGAACAAAAGCAATAACAATAAAAGCAAAATGATTGTGATGATGATGATGATGATGATATTCCTGTTGCAGGCAACAGCTGCAGTGGGTCAGGAAGTGGGTGTGCATCAAATCGAGCGCAGTGCACCTACACCACCCGTTTCTGTATCTGTGGAATGTGATGCTGTTTAAAGCCGACCCGTCATCATTGTGTTTCTCTGGGCCAAGTAAAACACCACATTCTTGGCAGCAAATTATCTTTTGGATGAGATGAAAGCTGGAACCCTTTTCTGTACTTCCACCTACTGTACACCCCCTCTGCCCCACCAGGACCTGCTATGGGGGAAAAACAAGTCTACCTTCCTCTTTTCCCCTGTGCTTAATGCACATTGGCTGCCCAGACACAGCTCTTTATGCTACTCCTTTTGAACTCAGGTCCAAAGAAAACATGACAAATAATAAATCAGTGTCAGGAACTAACCCTGTATAGTAGAGGGGGCCACACCTGACTGTTATTCAGACCTACTGCTCTTTTGACGGGAAGCAAGATGCACAGGAAGTTACATATTCAGAGGAGGATATGGAATGTCCCCTTAGCCAAAACAGGGACCTTATGGTCCCACTGATATACTCTGACCCTGTGAAGGCTGGCAAGACAAACCCCATTTGGGGTGTTTGGAGAAACCCTAAGCTCTACACTGATCCCCCATTGGCTTCCTGTCACACTCCACAAGTCCCTTCGTCTCCTGTGACGCAGAGCTTCAGTGGTCCTATGTATCATTCTTTGCCAGCTTCCCTTTTGCCAACATTCATTATGGCATAGCACTCCTCTGAGAGATGAGGCAGGGAATGTATGCACTGTCCAGCCTGCCAGGGAATCTGTCACTGACAGTATAGCACAATGCACCAGCCATCAACCCGTCTGGATGGGGTGTAGTATTCTCCAGGGCAACACAAACACTAGAACCAACAGAGCTGAGAAAGCCTCCCACAGCCCAAGATACATGGTGACATCAAATTACAAAATAAGAGCACTGCACTGTGGCTGCGGGAGGATCTTATATGCAGCTGTGAGCCAAAGCAATCTGAACAAATGTCTTAACTTAAAAAGAAAAACAAAGAAAAAATAAGTAAGGGACAATACTTAGGTTTAACCTAAGTCACATTGTCAGACACTCCCTCTTCATACTGAATTATGTAATTCTATTAACCACTCATGGGCACTGGCGCCTGTAACTAAAGGTCCATTTAGTCCCCTGATAGTGCAAGGCATGCTATAGCTCATCCATGGCAAGAACAACATCTCCATGGAATAGATGCCCCACAGGGAAGTTACCGCTATGAACCACAACTTTCTGCAGACATATGAAGGCGCGTATGTGCACATCTGCTTTTCAGCTGTCTTCACATACTTCACACATACACATCCTGAATGCATGCAGGTATGTATGCACACAAGCTCACACAGATGCTAAACGCTTCATTTAACAGCTCAACCCAAAATCTGACCAAGATCGTCATGGTGTGATTTGGATGGGACAAGTGCTTACCTAATGAAGAAGGAGGCTGCTGCAGATGAGGAAGAAGAGGTATTGATGACAGGTGCTGGAAGTCCCGGCTGGCAGGAGCTCCTCAGCTGGCACGGCGTCAGGGCGCTGCTGCTGCTGCTGGTCACAGTGGTGACTGGGGCCTCTGAGGCAGCCATGTCCACATCTTTATCCGACATCAAACCCTGAGCCTGTTGGCACACACATACAAAAATAAGACCATTGCTTACAGGTTTTACCTCTCCTGCCCACCTTTCTTCCACTCCATTTACTCTTTCTCAGCCACAGATGGACAGGCAGCTGTAGCCAGCACAGGTTAGGTGGAGTCAGCAGTATCCACAGCAGAGAGCTCCTCACAAAGGTGCTGCACCATTACTTGATCCTGGCAACACTCTCAAGGTTGCGCTGACTGTGGCCTACTGTAATTAAGTGATAACCCAAATTTAATTAGTAGTTAAATCACTAGCAATTTATTTCACTCTGCTCCCAATTATGTCTATACCTCCATGGCTAATCTGGCACTATACTCATCAGGCACGAGAAACATGTCATCGTGCAGGTTGAGTCAGACTAAGACTGAGTTCCTAAGGGACTAAACAATCAACAATCATGTGAGAAGAATTCCAATGTTTATGAGGTATCGGACTTGCACTCACACGGGCACACCCTGCTCTGGGAATTTTTGTAATTGAACAGGTGCAAACTGAGGTGAGACACATCCCAAGGCCTGTGGTAACTAATACCAAAGCTACACTAGGTATACCGCCATGTATGTGCTACAGTAGATCATCTATATAGATCTGCTGTATCAACACAATAGTTTAGAGACAGACAAATACTAATCATATTTTAAAAGCTTAATTTCTGTGGCTGTTTTAACATTATAAAAGTAGAATAGAGGAGAAAATAGCATGTAGATGCAGTCTGTAGAGAGAGAGAGAGAGAGAGAGAGTGATTATTATAATTCTTATGATGATGATAAAGTTTCTCACAATGCACAAAGTAAGCTAAAAGCATCACTATAAGGTGTTTCTAGTCCTCTGTGTCTCTCTTTTAAGGTTCAGCTGGAGCTCTGGAACATGCAGTGGCACGCTGATTGCACATAGTCCAACAGAAGGACCGCAGACCGCTAATTAAACAAGCTAAAAGCTAACTCTGAGACTGCACTTCAGCTGGAGTCACCATGCTAACAAAAGGTTAATCCCCATCGGAGCCACTATTTTATCCTGCAGGACAATGTTCAATAGCAGATGACAACAACTGGTTCTGTGGGGTTTCAGTACTGGCAATTATATAAATAAAGGCCAGAGTTTAAAAAAAATAATTTACAACACTGACACATGTAATCAGCAACAACCTTGAATTGAGTACAAACCAGTGCTGCAGCCTGAGCACCATTTGAGGTTGGCTATTGCTCTGCAGAGTGCCACCACTGTCAGCTTTACATGCCGCTGTATTAATAAATACAGAAAAGCTTCAGTGACCTCTTGTCAGTCAGTGGACTGGCACTGCATGTTGAATCCCCTTTCTTTCTTTTAAGCTTCTTATCAGAGTTAAAAATCGACATTTTTGCTTTGGAGCTCTGGTTTTGCTCTCTTGAGACCTTATCATGGAGGCTAAGTCAGTAATCAAGCAGTGGTGCGTGAAGTTTTGAATTAAGAAGTATACCATGCAAAAACTGGCTCCAAATTGAAACAAGCCTAATACAGATCCTCCTGCAGCCACCAGGGCAGAAAGCATCATGCCAGTGTTAGTGACAGTTTAGGAACGCCATGCATAACAGGGAACTGGATCCATTACACTTTGGCATGAAACACTAGAACATTTCTCACGCAAACATACAGGACACTGATGTGCACAGCTTATCAGATCTGTCACTGACAGAGTCCGTGTAGTGTCGGTTTTAAAATCAGGTGGCAGCGAACTACAGGAGCCAAGTTGTAGCCTGCAGCCTTGGGCCCAGACTAGCTCTGAATCTGGTTAAACAATCTATCCCCTGGTCTGGTAATTAGACTGTGTCAGTGGAGCCATGTAATGGTAGTGGAGTCAGTAATGAGCCAGCCTTCTACCCCTTAACCCCCAGCCCTCCCTGATCCCTTTGCATTGGTTTGCCACTGGAAAGAAAAAACAGAAAAAAGGAGCTGGGAAAGAGACAAAGCAAGAGAGATTTGAACATAATGGAAAGAGTAGAGCAGAAGACAATGTAAGAAAGGAGGCCAGGACAGTGTTTCCTGTGAAATCTAAAGTGAGCAGAGGAGGACAACATCCAATCAGCCAACTGTCTTACCCCCCAGACTAAAAGGACTCCCCTGTGACCTTTGATTCCAGCAGTCAGCACACAATTACTTCTGAGGTGAAATAGACCCTGTGTTAATCTGCCTGTCAGGTTTAGCTGGCCTCTGTGACCAACAGAAACGAACTGAGGTGAGAACAACACAGGAATCCTACAAGAAAAAAAGGACTAACATAAGACACCTTCATAAGTTCTTTGACAGAAAATGTCCACAGTTTTTATGCAAATATTAGGACATACATAATTGCACCCTTTTTTTATTGTTTCCCTGTTTGGCATGAGTGGGAATTAGCCTTCCGTTTCCTTCCTGTACCCATTTCTTCTCTTGTCATCATTTCTGTGGAACATCGCCATGCAAGACCAGCTGCACCAAAGCAGCAGCAGCCAAGATGATATGCTGGGCTTCACACTCGTGGCACTGGTGCAGGCCACGCTAGCGGGCGAGCAGTGGGCCAATAATAGAAATCCTTATGGGTTTTAAGAGCACTTGGTCTTTGTAGATTAGTGCACATGTGGTTGGGGATTTTGTGGAGCAAAGGGAGAGTTGCAGATTTCCAACAAATTTCTTGTTTTGATTAGTAGCAGAAGGTTAATAATAAGGTTTTCTGGATTACCATCTTCATTCAAATACCCATGAACACCTGAAATTACTTTAGTAATTTTAAAAGTGGAAGTTATCAAACTTAGGGTTTTACATCATGGTCCAGGCCTGCAGCTGACTGTCTCAGAAAAGTGCCTTTGTATGCAGTTTGCTCAAGGCAGCTACTCTCATATGAACCAGTGTCAGCCAATTACAAAGAGCCAGAGAGTTTCAGTTCGAAAGGCCACAAACATCATTCCAGATGTTAACAAGAGCCTTTCCCCAACTGGGAGATTCAAGGTGCCCTATAATGGGCTGTGTGTGTGTGGGAGTGCCCCGGGCTCCCTGGATGACACACTCTGAAGCATGTCTCATTTACACACACACAGTCCACTGTTAGGTATTTTTAGTCAGATAGATATTGGTTAGGTACTTGTATGTATTAGAAATGTTTAGTGGAGATAGGATGTCTAGTTAGACTGTTAAATGCTTAGTCATGCTTATAAGTTTCTACAGGGTACATCTGGTCAAGGATACTAGAGAGAAAAGTTGGATGACTGTCAGCAGACAGG